TGGCAGCCTCCATCACCTTCTCAATATACCCTTCAATAGGCGGTGTCAAAGTTGCCATAAACCTGTTTGCCGGGAACGGTGCCAAATCCGGTACCAAAGCCGCCTGCTTTAGCTTCTCAGGCAATGCCTCTATTGCCTCCTTTTTCAACCTCAACAACGTACTCTCTGCCGCCTGCCTTGCCCTGTGTTTCCTCATCAACACCCTGCTATACTCCTTCGCCAACCTCCTCCCATCCTCCACCGTCAGCTCGTACTTGGGTATCTTGTCCGCATCAACCAATCCTAAGGTAATGAGATCCAGCCCTGGCGTCCCAATTATCATGGGGTCGTCAGGGACCCCAAGTGCCTTTCTGCCTCCTTTCTTCAGTATCTCCACTTCCCGCTGCCGCTCCTTGCTCATCAGACCCATCTTCTCCCTCTCCACTTCGCGGGCTCGCTCTCTGGGGGTGAGGTGGCGGACGGGGGTGGGGGCGTTAAGACACTCGTGATACAGCCGTTGCTTCTCATCCTGGATCCTTCCTCCTTGCCCAGAGGAGTCACCATCTTTTTGAGGTCCGCCTTTCTTGGACGAGATTTTGGAGCGCTTTAATGGCTGCCCCGACTTTAGCTTAGCCTTGCCTTTGGCGGTTCCACTTACGGTGCAGCGCTGAAGGAGTTGGTGAGTGAGCGTTAGCAGAGGTTTAGGTTTTGAGATCCGAATCATGTTATGGAAGGTAGAAATTAGGGTTTACACTCAGAGCTGGGGGGAAGAAAAGACTGAGGAAGATGAAAGAGTGAGTGATGAATTAGGATTTAGGGTTGCTGTTCCGGAAACAGGAACAAGAGCCCAACAGCCCGAGTTCCAAAGGCCCACATTACTCATGACATGAGCCGAGCCCTCCTTCCTTTCCCTTTTCTAGCTTTCCATTTCCCCCAGTGTTTTTAAAGGTTTTCCTTTCCCTTTACATTTCATTTCCCAGATTGTGCTCGAATTACTTATGGTGTTTGTAACATCCAGGTGAACTGCTGAAGCCTGAAACTTAGCTTAAATTTATTATTCCTGATGTTTGTGACTTCCAGGTGAATTGAATTGATGAAGCTTTTGGATGTTTCATGCTTGTAATATTCTGTGAAGATAAATTAATTCATGTGTTTTGTTTCTCATCTGAGCTTGAGCTTGAGCTTGAGCTTGAGCTTGAGAGAAATCAGCTTTAATTTTTTGATAGCAAAATTTCTGAATTAAAGAGAAGTGCAAAAGAAGTAAAAGAAAAAGAAGATGAAAAGAGTCCAAAACAAGAGCATAGGTTCATTTTTCATACAGAAGAAATGAAAGAGAAAAGAAAGATACAGATTGTTGAATATGGTAAAATAAATAAAAGCATGTTATTGTTTGAGAAATTAATTTTAGTGAGGAGGAAGAACTTCAAGGTCTGGTCTCCGATCAAGTGCTGATTCATCCGGAAATGCATCTGGATAGGTAGCCATAAGTTTTGCTTTGATGTTCCTGTGTAAGTAAAACTGAATTAATTCAGAAACAAATTAAAGGGACTTTTGGAATGTATGTGAATGGTAAGGCTGTGCAAGCAGAGACCATAAACATACATATATAACTGAATTGAATTGAATTGGTTAGAAACACCCAATCCCCATGCAATGCTTTTATACAGTGAGTAATTGACAAAAATATGGCATAGTTTGCTTGGATAATAAAGAAGCTGGTGATATATCACCAAAAAGGAAGCTGATAGTCATTCATAGTCATGGATGGATTAACCTTCCTAGTTCCTACTCCTATTGCTCAGCCTGTTGGTCTATTTTTTGTTGATCATCATCCCTCACCTCACATTTCCAGATTATATATGGTATAATGATGCATGCATTCAAGCAAAAGACAAAAACTTGCTTTATGTATATATAGATATATATCATAGAGGAAAGAAACAGAGATGAATTTTCCCATTCACTGGTGCAATACAATAGAAGCTAGAGAAAGCAAAGAAGAACAAGAAGATTATATGAATGGATAAATAGAGTAAAGGAGTAGTAAGAAGAAGTACCTAAGCTTCTGAAATATATAATCAAGGTCAGACTTGATAGACTTGAGGAGACGGGTGTTCCTGGCAAAGTCACCAGAAACCTCACTCAAGCAATTCTCAGAATACTCATTAAAATGCGATAAAACCGCATTACTATCCTGCAACCTTCCCAATCTGCAACCAAAAACCAAGAACCAATATTAATTTATTAATTAATTTTTTAAAAAAAAAAGAAAAGAAAGGAAGAAGCTACAGGACACCACACTCACATGAGGTGCTGCAATTGCTTGAGAGAATCAACATCTTGGGGATCGATTAGGGTTTTGAATTCGCTTGCGACTGCCTCTGACGCTGCTCCTATCCATTCTTTCTCCATTTCTCTTTCTACCTTTCATTCCAATTCCATCCCCCTTCTTCCCCTTTCTACCCCCAAATTCTTTTTTTTTTTTCTAAAAATTATGAATTATATTTTTTTTAAAAAAATTATTTACTCCTCAATAGTTACAACCCGAACGAATTCTCTTACCGGAAACATTGGGGAAAGACGACGGAGGAGTACAAGTTCAAAAATAACCCTGCCTCTACACTACTCCACCATTTTATATATATAATTTTTTTTTTGAAAAAAAAGAGAAATGATGCAAATAAAAATGATGTGAACTTTACGTTTTTTTATTTAAAAATATTAATTTTATTAATTTGTAAATAAAAATATTAATTTTTAATTTTTTTATTTAAAAACGTTAATTTTTAATTTTTTCATTTAAAAATATCAATTTTTATCATTTTAATAAAAAAATTTGTTTGTCATATTAACATTATCATCTAATTAATTTTTAAATAAAAAAATAAAAAATTAATATTTTTAAATAAAAAAAATAAAAATTAACATATTTAAATAAAAAAAAAAAAAATTAATAACTTTAAATAAAAAAATAAAAATTATGTCTTTATTTACCCATTTTCAAAAAAAAAAAAAGGAGGGGATTCCAATGCATGTATGTGTGCCTGTGTCTGGGTCTAGGTCTGCGGCACGTGACGTTGGCCGTCCAAAACTTGGGTTTGAGATTGAGCCACACGGCACTGCAATCGTGTCTCAAGTCTGAAGTCTCAAGTTTGAAGTCTCAAGTCTCAAGTCTGAAGTCTGAAGGCCTAACCCAAACGCACTTGACCCGTCCAACGATCCAGGAAGTTTCAAGTCCTGACCCGGTGGATGGGTGGGTTACCCATTACCCAATTTAAAAAGGCCTCTCTCTCTCCACCTCAGAAAATCAGAAAATCCTGTCGAGAAATTCTACCATTTTCCTCAAAAGATTCCAGGTTTCAAGCCCAAACCATAACTCCTCTCTTCCCTCGACTTCGACTTCGACTTCGACTTCGACTTCCGACACCGACCATAACTATATTGTTATTGTCCTCATAATTCCCACATCAGATTGCATTGCACTGAATTCTCTCTCTGTCCAAGTCTAGGAGATGAGGCTGCTGAAGGTAGCAACTTGTAATCTGAACCAATGGGCAATGGATTTCGACTGCAATTTGAACAATATCAAGGAATCCATAACCAGGGCTAAAGAAGCCGGTGCTGCTATCCGCCTTGGCCCCGAGCTTGAGATTCCTGGCTATGGCTGTGAAGATCATTTCTTGGAACTTGACACTGTCACGCACGCGTAACTTTTCTTTTCCTGCTAGATTCCTTGCCTTATTTATTTTCAGTTCCCCACTTTTTGGCTTTCTTCCATTCTTCTCAATGTTGACTTTTAAATATAGTGGATTAACATTTATCTATGCTGTTGGTTTTTTTTTTTTTTTTTTGGTTTTTGTACCTTCAAGTTGTGCATGTTTTCAATTTCCCATTTCTATTTCAAGTCAAGTGGATTCTCTCACATGTAGAATTGAATTATGCAATTTTTTCTCCAATCAGTTACATCTTTTGTGTTTCAGATCCCCAAAAGGCTGTTTCTTTTCTTTGTTGTTGTTGTTGTTGTTGTTAATGATGATGATGATCATAACAACCTGTTTTTAGTACTTGTACGGGATGAAGTTAATAAAGGGACCTTTCTTCAGTTCACATCTGTGGAGTGCATACTCTGCTACCTGTGTATCAGTACCAATGCTTTTAAAGATTTCTAAGTAACAGGAAATCCACTCACCCCAATGGAACACTCGCACTATTGGCATGCCAAATTAAGATATTTAGTTGCTTCGTCTGATGATATGATATTGCTTTCTGCTCAATGATACTACTGATTACTTGCTCGCAGGTGGGAGTGCTTGAAAGAAATACTGCTCGGTGATTGGACAGATGGCATATTATGCAGCATAGGAATGCCTGTTATTAAAGGATCAGAGCGTTACAACTGTCAAGTTTTATGTTTTAACAGAAAAATCGTCATGATACGCCCAAAAATGTGGCTTGCAAATGATGGCAATTACAGAGAACTTCGATGGTTTACAGCCTGGAAGCAAAAGGACCAGCTTGTAGACTTTCAGCTCCCACATGAAATTTCTGAGGCTTTGTCGCAGAAATCAGTACCCTTTGGTTATGGATACATTCAATTTTTGGACACGTACGCAACAGCAACCATGGTCCTCTTTTCTTTAGTTTGCAAATATTTTAATCCATGGATAATAGAGCTCATAACGATCATAGGAGTTAAATTGGTTGTGGATTGTACTGCTTGTTTTGTTTTCTATTTTAAAATTCTTGGCAAGTCGTGAGGTGCTCATATTCTATCATTTTATTCCTTGGTAGAGCTGTTGCGGCAGAAATTTGTGAGGAGCTTTTTACTCCTTGTCCTCCACATGCTGAGCTTGCATTGAATGGGGTTGAAGTTTTCATGAATGCAAGTGGAAGTCACCACCAATTAAGGAAGCTAGATCTTCGGCTCCGCGCTTTTATAGGTGCTACTCATACTCGAGGAGGGGTCTACATGTACAGTAATCATCAAGGATGTGATGGGGGCCGCCTATATTTTGGTACATACCTCTAGACCTCATTACCATATTTATCTGCCTACAACATATAGTAGTAGCTAGAAGAATCAATTTGTATATACTCCCTCTGTTTTTATTTAGTTGCCCCCTTACTGAGTAGGGCGTTTTCGTTTAGCTTTCCCATTTTCTACTTTTAGAAGGACATTCAACACTCTTATTCCAAATTTATCCCTGTTACTCTAACCTATTAATTAAGGAAGGAGAAAAAAGCTTTTATTAAGGATAAGTATAGAATGTCAAGCATTAATCATTGTGTTTCTAAGCATTCAATGTGATTTCTCTACAATTGTATAAGTCAAAAGTGGGACAACTAAATAAAAACAGAGGGAGTAATATTTATCTGCCAACATATATTAGTTGAAAAATCAGTTTGGTGTTCAAAAGAATCATTTTTCCTAATGAAGAACACTGCAGGTAATGGAGAAGTTTTTGTTTGATATATAGTGGGTATCAATTTATTTGTTACAGATGGTTGTAGCTGTGTTGTTGTAAATGGAGAAGTTGTTGCTCAAGGCTCACAGTTCTCTTTGAGGGATGTAGAAGTTGTGGTTGCTCAAGTAGATCTTGATGCGGTATGCTAAGTTTGCATTTTTTAAGTATCTGACTATCAAACCTAAGTCAAGGGGGAAATGAAATTCATGCTTTCCTGCTATCAAAATTTGTTAACCCAAGTGAACATTTGATGAGAGATTTGTTGTGAGGATAATTATTCAAGGCCTATCACATATTCCTGATAGCCATGCATAAGATCTCCTCTATTGAAACAAATTGGCTTGCTCCTGCTAATCTAAAAAAATTGGCTTGCTCCCTTATTGTATGTGACATTTTAAAACCATCAAGAGAGGAAGGTTACATGTGTAAAAGTCTAAATTTAGTTCTTTTATTTCTTTGCTTAATGGCAGGTTGCTAGTCTAAGAGGATCTATAAGCAGTTTTCAAGAACAAGCAAGTTGCAAAACTATAGTATCATCAGTTGCAGTTCCATACAATCTTTGCCAGCCTTTTAACCTGAAGATGTCACTTTCCAGTCCCCTGAAGGTCAGTTCATTTTCAGTTAGAATAAAGTCTTTCCAAGTTGAGTTTAAACCAATGAATTAAAAATTTAATGGCCCCATGCTTGCATGTCATCCCTAAAGGTATTCCACTAGCTGGTAAAAAATCAAGTTTAATTTATTAGAACTTCTATGAGATGCAGATCAAGTATCACTCTGCTGAGGAGGAAATAGCCTTTGGTCCTGGCTGCTGGCTATGGGATTATCTGAGAAGGAGTGGTGCTTCTGGGTTTTTGCTACCACTTTCTGGGGGTGCAGACAGCTCCTCTGTAGCTGCTATAGTTGGTTGCATGTGCCAACTAGTTGTCAAAGGTTAGGCTTTAACTTTTAAGAGTCTAGAATTTTCATGCAGTGTTCTTCTACGGAGTCTTTCACGTTACTTAAAGTTAAACCAAGAGTCCAGTAAGCATATCCTTATTAAGACAATGTTTTTGTCTTGGACTGAGTATAGAAATTGCAAATGGAGATGAACAAGTTAAAGCTGATGCTATACGAATTGGAAATTACTCTGATGGGCAGTTTCCTACAGACAGTCGGGAATTTGCTAAGCGCATTTTTTATACTGTGTTCATGGGTTCTGAAAATAGGTGAGTATACATGAAAACCAGCAATCTTTTTTTTTTTTTAATGTTATTTGGATAAGGCATTAAAAAAATAATTCTTTTTGGCAGTTCTGAAGCCACAAAGATGCGAGCTAAGACACTAGCAGACGAGATTGGCTCATGGCATCTGGATGTTTGTATTGACAGTGTTGTCTCTGCTCTGCTATCTCTGTTTCAGACACTCACTGGAAAACGACCACGCTATAAGGTTAAAGAGGGATTGAAAGCTCATTTTCTATTTCTTTTCTGAAGGTTAAACAGGCATGGTGGATGCCATGCTACTTGCTAGCTTATGAAAAATTACTCATTCATCTCTGAGTACCAAATATGTTAAGTGAGGTTATGCATAAAAATCCATGGCATTAAGCAGATCTTTGCACTGGCTTCAATCTGTCTCATTGAAGAAATATAATGTTAATATCATGGGAAATTAATATTTAACCAAGTTCATCTGACAACAGTCATATTCACCGGATATGCTTCAGCAATATTTATCCTTTATCTTGCAGGTTGATGGGGGATCTAATGTTGAGAACCTGGGATTGCAGAATATTCAAGCACGAATCAGAATGGTGCTAGCTTTTATGTTAGCTTCACTTTTGCCCTGGGTTCACAATAAAAGAGGGTTTTATCTTGTTTTGGGTAGCTCCAATGTTGATGAAGGATTACGTGGTTACCTCACAAAGGTACTACATAGTCAAATGATTGTTTAACGTCTGTTTCTAATTGTTATATTATGTCTACCAGTGCTTACTTTTAATCTCCTTTACAGTATGATTGCAGCTCAGCAGATATAAATCCAATTGGAAGTATTAGCAAGCAGGATCTACGGATGTTTCTCCGATGGGCTGCCACACATCTTGGATATTCATCCTTGGCAGACATTGAAGCAGCTCCACCCACTGCTGAACTGGAGCCTATACGTTCTAACTACAGCCAGGTCTCAGATCTCTCAATAAACTAGCACAATAGTTTTTGAATTTGAAGTTTCCAGTGGTTTTGTTTCATATGTTGCTAATACTACATTCTGGATGAAACAGTTGGATGAAGTGGACATGGGAATGACATATGAGGAACTATCTGTCTATATATGGAAGATTGTGGAAAATTTTCCGTTGCGGTCCTGTATCAATGTTCAAGGTTTGATATGGAATAGAACTCGTCTATTGTTTCTGAGTTTTCCCTTTTTTTTTTTCTAAGTAGTATTTAGAAGCATCATTTTTCATACTTGAGTGACTCATACTTCCACTTGAAAAATGAGATGTTCTGTCCAGTTAGGGAATTATTGCCCCTAAAACTTGTGATATATCATGTATTGGCATGTTGAATTCTATGATAGTGTGGATGTTCGTTATGTGAGTTTTAGACAGTGGAATTCTGTTCCTTCCTTGTGTTGGTTTTTCGCAGTTAGTCAGTTAACAATGTTGGGTGTTGCAGAATCTGTGCTACAGATGGGGTGACAGACTAAGTCCATTAGAGGTAGCTGAAAAAGTGAAACACTTCTTCAAATATTATTCCATCAACCGACACAAAATGACTGTATTAACACCTTCCTACCATGCTGAGGTATGTGGAACTAAATAACTACTCTACTTGGTTGAGGATTAATTGTTTGAAGTATAGAAGAGACAAAAGAAGTTAATTTTGAATTCCTTGTTGCAGAGTTATTCACCAGAGGATAATAGGTTTGATCTGCGTCAGTTCCTGTACAATGCAAGATGGCCATATCAATTCCGGAAGATGGATCAACTCGTGAAACAATTAGATGGTGACAAAGTTGCGTTTAAGGAATCAGTTGGCCATGGGATGGGAGTTGTGGCAGCATCTTCTGGTGATCCTAAAGCTGGCCTTTAATCATCTTTTGAGTCTCAACTCATTCATGTCATAGTTATTATAACTTGAAAGATTATATTCACGGACCAAACTTGAAAGCACACTCCAATGTCTAATTTACGCTGTTTTGTATTTGTCCTCAGCTAATAAGATGTGTTTGTATACTCAATCAATTCAGTACAATTTTTTTTAATGAAACCAATAAAAAAATAATTATTTGGAGCATATTTTTTGAATATTTTTTAGTGTAATAATGATATTGAGAAATAAAATATGTTTGGTTAACAATTTAAATAGTTAGTAGTAATTTTTTTATTGAAAATAAAATATTTTGAATTTAAGCAACATAAGTGAAGGTGAGGTGAGGTAAAAGTGAGGTGAGATAAAATAATAAAGTAAGGAATATATGAAAATAGTCTCTTATTATTATGCAATTAAAATATAAAATATAAAAAAAAATAATGCGTCTAATGTTTTTCAATTTCAATTAATAAATTATTAATTGTATCATGTGGTAATTACAGAATCCACCCTAAACTTTTTTTTTATGCAATCCAAATGAAA